AGTCTTTTATCACAGAAACGGCTTTCCATGTACCATGTAGTGAACATACACTGTTCCACACATGCAGTCTTTTATCACAGAAACGGCTTTCCATGTACCATGTAGTGAACATACACTGTTCCACACATGCAGACCTAAACCTGACCCGGGTGCAAGTCAAGATATGTCGAGCATCGTTAAGTTAACGCAATATCCGGAGATATTTGGAACACTGTAAAGACTCATTTTTATTGAGCGCGTACTTTCGCATAAGACTTGTCTGCTCCACACTTGAGTAACACACTTGCAGACCGGTGAAGCCAGTAGAAATTGTTCCAATCTAATCTTAAACTTATCTTGATTAGACGAGAGCACAAATGACTTGCCATACCTCTCACGTCCTTGCCCCGCCTCTGACATACATCACAAATTCTTCACCGAAATTTGTGATTTTATTTTAAAACCATGTCAGATTTCATATATTACATGACCTGAAATAAAGAGTGCTTTTGCGCCCAGTTCCAGAGTAAGGAAAAAAATCTCATTCTCAGCTGCTTAACCCTAACGCTCCTCAATCCTTCACCTGTTGGAGGACTGAGGACTGTTGGGGTTAATTTGCTTTCTTGAGTTGTCTGAACAATTCTGCTCGTTAGTGTTGTTCCGCGGACATTGTTCTTTGGCATTTTGCCAAGTTCTTCCCTCTCTTTCAAATCTCTGCTGCCGCTTCTTCTACTTTCGTCTTTTTAATCCACCTTGCTCGCTCCTGCTCTTTCAAAAACTTTCAGAACATCCCGGAGAGTTTGGAAGAACCTGGGAGTTGCTGGCCAATGACGGAACTGATAGCCCTGTCTACGAGCTCCTTGGAAATTCCTCTGTGGAGATGCAGCAAAGCGATAATCCACCACGCAAAGTCGAAAATAGTATCTCCTGCAGCTGTCTGACACATGTGGCCAGTTAGCTGGCACTGTTTCAAACTTGTTTCCAGATTTCACTAAAATAGTAGACTTGTACGGCAAAAACAGCGTCCGCTGACGTTCAAAATTGCACTCTCCTTGCATAAGCACTGACATCAGTCCCGATTTCCATTTCATATTGGTGTGGGTTGGCATACGAAGGATGGCCCTGTTAAATGGCACCCTCCTGAGTCCAAGCAGTTTCCACATCCACAAAAAATCAACAGCGCCCTCTAAAGTACATCATCTTCCAGAAGTAGCATCCTGTACTTCACGTAGTCCAATCTGATTTGGGGTTGGAAAACCACCCGCACTCAGCTGCTGTAAATAGCGCCCTCTCTCTTTTTTATTTTACAGGTGCAGAATACTCACTTGGTTGCTGCACACCCATTCTTTTACACGTACTCCACAAGTTTTACTTTTTGGAGAGGGCTATTCCTGCACCCACAAGTCCGCCCACCGCGAGTACCGCACCGCCCACAATCGCCATTCCCATTAAGCCATCTGCATGAACAATGACAACAAAAAAAGCCCCAGGCATTCCTGTTAGGTGTGGTGAAGCAAACAGCTGGGACATGAATGCTTTCCCTGATAGTTTTGTGTCTATTCTAACGAAAATTTTGAAAAATGGCCGTGAGCCTTTTTTGCTTCGTTCACTGGCAAGTTGGACTGTTCAGAGACGGTGCGCCCTCAATCAGAGCCCATCAATATTTCTCCTACAGATTCCCTTATGCGTTCTTATCCATTCTTTTAACTGAGCCCTCTTGTAGGGCTGTATAATCAAGTAACTACTGCCCATTTTCTGATGTTAATTTTGCGATCATACCAAGGTCATGGCCATCAACCACAAAATGCAACAAGGGGTTTTTATGTTTTTTTTATATTAACCATCATTTAGATATCCATTTTAAGGCCGTTTGATTGTTATTTGGCAACAGAAAGTGCTTTGAGCCAATTTAATCGGCCTAGAGCCTGTAGCTGAAATGGCCACTTCTGACTCAGTAGATCACTGTAGCATGAGAACGTAAAAGATTGAGCGGTTTGTGTGATCTAAGTGATCAAGCATTCAGCACACCAGCAGATGAACTGATTTTGATAAGAAGCCTTAAGCAATGATTGCTCATCCACTGACATAAAGTCATGACAAAATGACCAAAATGGGTGCAAACAACTCAACAGCTCCTAGCCACTTTGCCCTCTTCAAACATGATTACAGGTCTCAGTCAGATATCCTCGAGTACGGTTCGGCTGACATCAGTCAAGCACGCACAAAATTTTGGACAGCCTGAGCCATAGCCACGAAAAGCAACAGATTCTGACTTATCCACAGGAGTCTGGTACCAATACATTATCATCTATTTCGCACTAAAAAATCTACCGCATCATTGGGAACATGACCAGTATCACACTCTTTAGCTCGAGACGTACCTCTATTCATCTTCTTTTTGATGAGTTGCTCCAAGTCTCTGGCTTGCGTGTTGTTGGGCTCAATCTGCTGAATCCCGTGGACGTACTTCAGAGCTCTTGTATAGTCCTATATGTCGGCAAACGATTGTGAACAGTTTAGTAATTACAGCTTATGCCTACACTGGGGTTTCGTAGTTTAGTTCTGTTGCTTTCTCACGGCACTTCACAGTCTAACAACGGTTTGTTTGATTCAGAACTCACAGTCATGTGAAAATAGGCACACCTGTACTAAGTGTTAAATGTGACGTGTCATCCACGCCACAGCTAAAACTAGTGTGACAGAAATAAATGTTAAAGCGTATTGTACAAAGGGACTTGGGTGCGCATTTCTTTGTACAAAGAAACATCTGTGTTTCACGCTGGAGGCTACCGGACTGAAAGATCTCTCAAAGGAGTCGGCATCTTTTGGTCTGGGAACCAGACTGACCTTCAACTTGTAATAGCCGACGCCCAGGTAGAAGAGGCAGTCGCGCTGCACCTGCAGGCTGCTCTCGTTCAGGAGCTCCTCCAGCAGGCAGACCCCCCTCCTCAGGTCATTGGTGTACCTGCTCCGGATGAGGCACCAGGCGTAGTTGAACTTGGCCCGGCCGCTCACCTTGCCCCTGGCCAACTCGCTATTGTAGATCTGCTCAAATCTCTGCGGTCAGGGAGAAGCCCAGCCATTATCAACCTCCCCAAAGTAGATTTGTTTTTAGTTAACCCCACCCAACCTAACACATCCCGCAGAACCTATAGCCTCGAATAACTAATGAAAAAAAGGGGAAAAAGGGGTATTGGCATGCTGACCGTGGGTGTTGCCATTTTGAAAATAATGCCTATTAACAAAGGCAACGCCTTGTGCTTTGAAGGTCAAGGCCCCCAATAGCGCACCGTACATGCATAATTCATATTGTCACTGTACTGATACGTAATGAGTTGCATGCACACTTTGCTAGAGTACAGTACGCCAGTGTACATATTAATGTTATTCAAATTAATTTCACTGGTTCCCTGTTCATCTGTCATGCAAGCACAGACTCTGAAGGTAACGGGAACCAATTTTGTAGCACCTGTCGGGTGCCTTGAAATCCAACGCACGAAGCATTGCATTCGTTTGTGGGCATTATTTTCAAAATGGCGACATCCACAAGCCAGGTTTTCAAGGAGTCATACATCGGAAAATGTACAGTTTTGGAAAGCTTTAGGGTACGCGTATGAAAGTCCAAACTCTAAGGAATACGTCGGTGTAAAAATGTCGAGTCATTCTCATTTCGGAAGATATTAGGATTCAAAGTTTGTGACAATCCTGCAGTTTGGATTTCAGGCATGAAAGTCACACCTTGACGTAGGGCTGTGATAGCGACAGATTTCAAAAGAGGGCCATCCACAGCCCTACCTGTGGGGCTATGATAGGCCTCTGCAGTATTGACATGCAGAGTATTAAATCTGACCTGGTCCAAATGAGAGTGGGCCTACATACAAAAGTGAAAAAAATGTAAAGAAAAAGAAAATTTCACCCACTAACTCACTCTGATCCACGAATCAGAAAGAAAATAAAGTGAAATATCCTACAATTTGACTTGGGATTTGTATTTTATTTGTTATGCCCCAACCATATATAGTTAAGCCTGTCCCAACTAGAATTCTAGAGTTCGGCCGACCCAACTACAGCATAAAGGTCCAGTATGCATGTATCCAGCATGTGCCGAAGTCATATTGTTGAAAATGTCATGTCATAGATGAAGTGCCATATTTTAGATAAATTGTGTCAAGTGTGAGATGCATAAACTTGGATAAGGTTGAGAAATTTTCTACAGAAATTGGCCAACAACAGTTGGGCAAGCCCAACGGCAGCACTACAGTTGGGACTGTCCCAGCTATAGTTGAGACAGATGCTACATATTTTTCCATATAGGGGGCCTAGACCGACAATGACCGAATCGACATAGGGACGCCACTTGACATCCTGTGCACACTGGTGCACTAACCCTATTTTTCTGGTCTGTTTTCTAAGTAAACGACTTGGATTTTTCCTTCCTAAATTGCACTTTTCTTGACACGTTTTTGCTTTGGTCACGTAGGGAATATTTACTGGCGTCCGAACTCTTCCCGAGTTGACTTGTTTAGGAGTCGAGCGAGTTAATGTTGGAGGCTGGGGCTAGAGCGAGTTGACATGGGACCAAGTTCAAGTTGCAGTTGAGTCCTTATTAGACATGTTAGGACACGTTCTATGATTAGATCCACCGATCTGGCCGATCTCTTGAAGATAGAACGATCGCAGCGATCGTGTACACGTTATGGGTCGATCAACCATCATGACCATGTCGACTAGGGCCTGTGACGTGCAATTGACAATGATTTACATGTATATGATGTACGCAGTCGTGTAATGCGTTAGTCACCGATCGGGAAAGAATTATGAGATTTTGGGGTCCATTTGACAAAACTGCGCAAAATCTGCACAGATTTTTCCATTTTAATTCCACAGGCAACATAGTAAAAATGTCTTGAAGACAAAAAAGAGAAAACTGGGCAACTGTCACAACCTGTACGCCCTTACTTTCAGATCCTCCACGGTTACGATTTCCTCTACGATCGCCTCCATCTTGGATTTTACCTGGTGACCGCTTTTTTTTGCAAATGGCCGTCTGTACAGGGCACTGTGGTAGAGAGAGGTGGATACCAGTTACCCAAGGCTGTGGCTCCTGAAAATTCGGACACGGCCATTTTCAACAAAAAGGGGTGCACAGTTATATGCAAATTACTCTATGTCTCATAATCCATTTATCATTGCATTCAAGCGACAGTGCTGAAGTTTTTTATGGTGGACGAATCGTAGAGAAACCGATACTGCAATCTGGCAGATTCACACACACACACAGTTCTTTTCATTTTTTCAGACACCATCAGCAGTGACCATTAAAACACGGATACAGTGCACGATATGGGGCCGATGGGTACACCCCCCCCACACACGCATGTCCAATCCGCCTATTCCTTCTTCCACGCCTGTGCACGCTCTAGCCGGCCTATTGTTACCCATCACACCCCCCCCCCACAAGTCTGTAAAGAATTCCTGAGGTTCCGATCAAACAATGACCAACACAAAGGCGGGGGGGGTTCTCTCCGCCCCATATCTTGCATCATATGACAACATGCTAGCCCTCAGATTAATTCAAGACGGCTTTGATGCACCGGTAGCGGTTATGCATTGCTGAGGTCTTGTTCTTTATTTTAATAAGATTACAATGAACTTGAATGCACAACGGTTTGCCGTGCACTCCAACTCCGCCCTCATGCATAACCTCTATAGCCAAATTTGCAATCAAAACGTTATTCAAACAAAGATATATTTTAAAGTATACCCAACCGCAAGTCTCAAGCATGAAAATAAACGTGTCTTGCTCGGAAGATCGCGATACAACGTCGGAAAACTTTGAAATAACTTTGATTAAAAATGTCCACCCCTCTGTGCATAATGAAACAATCTAGTTGCAGACACACCACCAGCTGGTATACATGTAGTACGTGACAATCATTCATAAAAAATCCCACCCGTCTTAGCAACGATGACCACGCAATTCCACAATATTCCAGTAACCCCCCCCCCTCTCTCCCCATCATCATTGTTATTTTGGGTTATCAGCACAACCTGCAGTCACATGGGCGATGAAGCTGTTAGTTGCAAAATGGCATGATACATTTGCGTAATTACTAGGACTGCAAAAAGTCCAACGAACGCACCATCGAACCGCGTGATTAAGACACAATCCATTTTTATTGTGAACCACGACCGACTTACTGTTTTGTTCAAACAGTTTGGATGACTAATGAGGAGTTACACGCACGGGCAGGACAGGTAAACCTCCCGTCAAACAATGCGTGGGCCCAATCAGGCTTGGGTTTAAAGAAACAGCCTCGACATGGTACAAATCTGCGAACGGGTGGGGCCACAAGTTGACTAGGTTTTTTTTCCGTCGTCTTCCTCATGAATGTACTATCAGGTAAGATTTCGTGTTCTTGACCGAAGCAAGAGACATCTCCTCTTTGTATAGCCAGTGCAGTGTCGCCATCATATTCTTTCTCCCTGGACCCGGATATATAACTAAACACGCGGCGCAAAGACGGCCCCTTCATGGATTTTGAGAGGCTTTGGATGGATGTTGCTCTAAAATGTAGGTAAGGCTGTCAAAATGAAACCGATTCCGTGAAAACTTGAAAGTCACGTGCCGGCGCGGTTCGGACGCGCCGTACCTGCACTTCATGCGACTGGCACCGACCAGTGCCACCGGAACGTCCACTGCACGGAGCTGCAAAAGTCATCTGTGTTCTGATGCAATAGTAAATACATCTGCCCACTCCGCCCGCGAGATACTGGCACGACAAGCGCTACGTGGCTCTGTTACAGATAAACTAATCCCGATCAATGTCTTAACGAGCTCGAGCCGGGCCGATTCTGTATTTTGGGTAAGCTTAATTGGTTCCAATAGAATAGTTCACAGCGCCACTCCGCGAAATCAAATTGTAGCAAATTCTACAACAGGGTAGATTCATGTTTTTTTGGTATAGTTGTCACGGCATCATTTGGCCCAGATTCATTTGCAGTGTCATGTTCCCGAAGACAATCACTGACGTAATACTGAAATACAGGATCTTATATTTTAAAAATTGACTATTCATTACCACAATTTGTTCATATTTTCCCAAAGTGCACACGACTGGCTACGCACCCGCCGGCTTATACGAGTTCTATGCTTGTGAAAATTACAAAAACGAATGACTTTTGATACGTATTGATTAAGAACGTCTAAAAATTTTCATCTGAAACATTTACCCCGACGGCTCTTTACTCTACCCTGCTTGGCCAAAAGCGACAAGAAAAATAACCAGAAAACGGCAATTTTATGTCTCGTACATCACTTTTGGGTGACTTTTTCGCGAAACGGTTTCAATCATTGTGACAGCTTTGCCAAGCCGAACACTGGTTCCCCTACAGATGATGAATACCGTGACACATTCCAAAATGTGCTTCAATATGCAACCGGTTGTGCAAGGTTCGAATAAAAGGGGTGGAGTTCAGGAAATTCGATAGATACGACAATGATTCCACAGTTTTCTGGCATTACTCAGCAAGGAGCATCACAGCTGCGGCAACAAGAGAGAGGGTGAAATTCCGCGGGCAGAGTTCGGCCGGAGCGAGAGAGAAGGTCAGACCGCTGTTCCTCGAAATCGTACTTCTCTGCACAAACTATGTCTCACGGATAATACAGGTTGGAAACACACGATGGAAATCAATAAGGGTCGTAATATGAAAACGATGTCACATTATGAAAACTGATTTCCTCCACTGCAATTGAAAAACAAAGTCACATGGGGGCATTTGTTTCAAGCAAGGTGTTTTTAATGCCGAGGGTGAACAAAATTCCTGCAGTAAAGAAAAAAAAAATTGTTATTTCAGAATGTGAAAAAAGCTCACCGGTACATAAAATGAGTTCTGAATGGATAAGGACTAAAATCCGTCTTCAAATGTTGGGTAGCACCATGCAGCAGTTCTGATAGCAGATTTTGAGAGGAAACTTTGACTCACTCTGTAAAGCAAACATCAAAGTGACGTCTTTCCTTAAAAGGAAAGCAAGCAGAACTTACATCGATACCATCAAATCGAAAGGAAATCCACTGGCCTGAAGAAAAAAGAAAGAAAAAGGTCTTATCCGATTGTACATAAGTGGCCATAAGGGTAGTTACAATGCACAAGTGTGTCCGGATCAATGATTAAATTAAGAATTTACGTATAGTGTCTCAAGGCTTGTTCAAGATATGTTTTAACACCAGTTGCCATGTCGGTATTATTTGGCAACAATTCTGGAAATCGCCTAAACATTGACCACTGGCAGTTCGGCGAAATTTTCGGTTATTTTGCGGCTGTAGCTGTCGCAGGGAAGAGCAAAACAGTAAAAACTCAAAAACTCCGGTGTCCTCTGGTATAAAGTCAACAGTCACCATATTTATTTGACCAAATGAAGTTTCCTTGTTAGAAAACAATCCCGCGAGAAAGGTATATTTTTTTTTGGGGGGGGAAGTTTAGTAAACCTAATTGCATGCTGTATACGCAGAAAGGTTTTGCCCATATCCGTGAGACAGTTCCGGATCATGGGCGAACATACGAAAAAAGCATGTGTACTGTAATCATTTTTGCAGTTAATCTGTGTTTCAAAGAACCAGGTGGTTTGGATTAAAAATGAAAACCAACCACATTCAAAATTGCCATTGAAGCTGGAATGGTCGAGAGATCAACTAAGCTACAAGGTTGTGGTTGGTCCTTAATTATGCCGAAGTCTTACTCCACTGACCTCCAATTTTGATTATCCGGGTTCACTACAAACGATCTGGTGTTAAACTCAGCACTTCTTGGTGTTATCAGATGGCCACACTAGAATATGTTACAAGTATTACAGCGCACTGGAGGGTGTTAAAAGTAACACCAACAGTTTTGAAATAGTTTTTTTTTTTTCAGTGTTCCAGTGGGGCAGGCAAAATTGGATTTGCCTTTCTAGCAACGTTTGTCTGGTTGTTTTCATACGCAAAGGAATCCTCAAACTAGCGCAGCACCGTTTCTAAAAGTGGTGCTTTTTATAAAATGATGTCCCAGGGGAAACCGCCACCCCTCCCTTTCCAAAATATTGTTAGATCTTTCAATGAAAATGCCTGTTCGCTGATCATGAAAAAAATACTTCCCGAAAGAGTCGAAATATTGAATTTTCCCGCCTTATAATGACGATGTATTCCGCATTGTGTGAGCATAATAATAGAGTATGGGGTGGGTGAACAGAAACTAAACTTGTTGGCTATTTCTGTAACGAAGCTGACCCGGAAAACGGTCGCACCCAACGGAAGAACCTGACCGGCTAACCTCTCGGTATGATGTCACAATACATAATTGTTTTGCTATTGTCATATTGGAGTGGCTAGACTCATACGAGGTCACAAAACAGCCAGCACGGCCCGGCCCAAAAGCCGTCGGCGTACATTCCAGTGGATCAGTGCCGACTTGTACGGCTACCCACCCCTCTCATCTCTGCTTTGTGCCGGCCGGCGACATTCTTCCCAGAAGGACAATTCCGCATTCCCCACATACCAGTTGCTCTTTTATCATGCAAATACAATTTGTCCCATGACGTTCGGGGCAATATTTTCAGTTCTCTTTTGTGTATTACATTTCTTGATACCGCGCGCACCAGGGGCGAAGTCTAAATACATGACCGCGCAACATTTTTTTTGTACCATGCCTTTATTTAAACAAAGTATTAATGCATTGTCAGAAAAATCCGAAGAATTCCACTGGAACATTTAAACAATATTTCTCCAAAATCTTAGTTTGAGTTTAAAGAGCAAATGGAGCGGTCAACGTTACACAGCTTAACAATCGCTCGAAAAAAAATCTGTCGAACATTCTCACAAAAGCCTACTGTGGCGCATCGTTGCTTTTTAAATTCAAAATGGAATGACCATTTGGTAATTGTAAAAGAAAGGTGATTTGTAAGGTCTTCGAAAAGGGAAACAAAGCGGCCGAGGTCGGTTTCTTTAATGATAAAAGGCCACGCGACACGAATTCAAACTATTTTCCCTCAGGGCGAAAATGACAAATGTAAGATATTCACATTTTCTTTATGGAGACATGTGGTGTCAAATTTGTGTGTTCAAAGCGTGGGGGAGGCATCTGGGAAGACACAAAACCTCCGAAACAAAAAGAGACCAGAAAAGGCCGAAAAAGCCAGATTTCTCTCCGTCAAAGAGCAGTGCCAAAAAAAAGCCACCATATCCCTATGACAACGACATGCAAATGCCAATGAGAGCGGTGCATTGAAATGAAAATGAAAGCCGACCAATTAACGACGGGGGCGCTTAAAAAGGTGGTTTAAAAATAGCCTTTGAGAGGAAAAGGCCAAAAATGCGACATAATACGCTCACAAAATGCACTGGCCGATGATCGTGCGGAGAGACGGTCTCTCACGTACACGGTGTACGTACGTAGTTCGTGGACCCAACCGCTCAGCGCCCTTGGATGCGGGGCTAGTTGTCAAAGCAAACAGCCGCCTACTCACTTCTGTAGATTTTCATCGACGACGCGTGCAATATCGGTTTACAGGGGCCTGCATTGTGCAGACGTTCGTTTCATTGAGGCTGGATTTCATTCATAAAGTTTCGGTCATTGCCGGCAGGTTATGGTCTGTATTTATATATATATATATACTCGGGTTCATTGCCTGGGCTACCTAACATTCGCAACCCCGAGTCGGTCGAGTTAGCGCGGATTTCCAAGGCAGCGATCTAGTAAGTGGTACCTTTTCTTTCTCTTGTCAGAAATCCAAATTTTGGATTTACCCACCAAACCCCAAATATTTTTCTTGGCTAGTAATCGCGAGGGAATTTTTTTTAGATGAATCATCGTGACTGTGTCAGTGAGTGCGAATTTTTGGCGGATCGGTTTAATGGACGAAAGATATTTTGCTCGTTGTAGCAGCTAGATCGAGCAATTTTTGGTGATGAATTCATGAAGATTTGCCCTTTTATTTTGTCAGGATTATTTATTTGAGTGATGCAAAGCGTTCGACGACGAAATGGCGAGATTGCGTTCAGGACACATAATTTGTTTTCTGCATGAGGGAGACAGTAGTAGTGTTTCGATTTTTTTTTCTTTGACCTTACACTGATTACAACTGGTGCAAATTCGAACCAGATTGTCAAATTATCACCGATTATCACCTACGTGTAGATATAGCTGTCGTTAAGTGTGCCGCTGTCGAAATGCGAATTTTCATCAGGAAACTTCAGGAGTGAGTGCGGTGGAACGATCGCTGCGCGCGACCCCGGCGGGTTGTCTGCGGTGCAGTGGGACTCGATCGAAAGCAAGGGAGGCTCGCGTATGGACCGCTCAGACATTGTCACTAACTTTGCCGTTGTAGCTAGGAGACTTTTCTTCCTCAAAATTAAGGCCAACGCTAAATATACTTTTAATCTGAAAGTTATACGTTTTTAAGAAAATACGTGGCTATTAAATAACCTTGAGAGGGGATTATCTTTTATTCATTAATATTACTATAATATAAGATTTTAATAAGCAAATAATGTGCAATTCGTATTGTGACCGTGTATTTTTTATTGTATCAAACGTAAATGTTGGAAAAAGTTGTCATGCTATTTATTTAGAAATTTTAACGGAGGAAAGGGAAATTTTATGCAAGAAAATTGAAACTACCACAGCACCTGTTTCACCGATGCGGATTACGACAGAAAATGAAGAGGTTATTAAAACGTTCTTGAAAAGCAACAAGCTTTCAGGATTCGAACAATAAAGTTTTGGAATCAACGGCAAAATGTCATTCACTTGTATGAAATGTTTTTATTAGATCTTTTTAAACAAAAACCAAACCAAACTCATTTTCTCCAAATGTGTATAGCAAAAAAACCATAATAATTCCTAAAACTGCAGAAGGTTACTAGTAATTGAGGTCTCCAAGTTAAGATGTAGGACATGTTGGAATCTTGAAAGCGTTATGAACGAGCGAAGCCAATTCGTTCATAATCCCCGATTTGAAGCTTCCACTTTTACTTATTAAAAGTTTGTGCTTCTTGTCACACCTTTCCACTGATCTGAGGCGAAGAGTAGAAAACGAGCGTGCTCAATGAAAACAATATGAAGGGTTAGGCTGTGTTCTTCTTGTAAATTTTGAAAACGAACTATTTCTACCATAAACTCATGTGTAATTTCAAGCCGTATGGCCAAGTGATTCGTACACGGCCTAAGGCTTAATCTTGCCGCTGTATGATTTTTTTTAAGGAAGCAAGTTCAAAATATCGTAGCAGGGGACGCTGCTACGAGACACGAAAACTATACTGTCGTCCTCAGACTGGCATTAAACCATTTTCTCATTGTGTAATAAAAAATACTGCCACCGGGACGCTGTGCATTCTCCGGTCTCAAGCAGCTTTTTTCAAACCTCGCCCTTGTCACTGTCTGGAGCTTCAGGGTTTGGTATCCTGCATTATAGGCATCTTAAGTGGAGGTCATCTAGCTCAATTTAATTTAATTCTCTGCCGCAAAAACATCAACTATGGCTCATGAAAGGCCACGTAGATTGAGGTATGTTCATTTTGGCTCTGTCCGGAAACATTTGAAAATGGTGTGAAGATCGAGATGAGGCAAGAGGCGGGGAGGAAGCCGAGGTTTGGAAAAAGGCCAGGTGCTGAGTCACAGAGGTCACAGGTTTGTCTCTTTAGCGTCAATCACTTCTCCTTTCCTCAGTTCTCTTGAAGTTGATTTGATTTGACAAATCAAACTTTTTTCTCGTATGTGTCCGCTTCTTTCAGAAAACGAAGTCTTTACATGAGAACGAACTCCCAGCAAAAACTCCTGCGATGAAAGACACACATCATTCCAACTGCTCAGCCATCATGTCCAGCTCTTCCGAGGCCATGGAGGCGTGCGTCAGCCCCACATCCAACCCGGCCAAAATCCAGTGGTCCAAGACACCAGGCACCCAAGTCTTCCCGCTTCAGCCAGTCCGGGATAGCCTGGTCCAGTCAGAATGGCAACCTCCGGCCAAAGGCCCCGGGGTCCTCCGGATAGGTGACGCACCAAGCGATGCACATGATGCTACAGAGCCCGAGGGGGTTGCCAGACCTGGTGAGAATGCTATGGGCGGCACCTCGGACCTGCCAGAGAAGAAACCAGTTTGTGACATCAGGGTTGAACACAGTGAAATGCCAATGCCTCCGCAAAGCAAATCCATACCAAGGAAATTCTGGAAACACACCGAGTCAGAAAACCTCAGAGTTGGACCAAAGAGTCACCTCTCTGAAGAGACCACGACGCCTTCCCACCAACTTCAAAGACCATCAAGTTTCAAGTGCAATTCTGGCCATTTGTTGCCCGAGGAAGAACAATCAGTTCAGAGTGCCTTCCGAGAATACCGTAAGCCTCTCTTGCCATACACGCCTGTTAGTGCTGTGAACGAACCCTCGAGGGCAGAAGGAAGTGCTATTAGTTCTGGACAGAATCAGAGAAAGCCCTCCAATCTGTCCGAAATTGAGCGACAGAGGGGACCTCTTAAGAAGCGTCACATCAACTACCATGTCCTGGATCTCAGCACCAAGAGACCCAAAGTACAAGGGGTGGGGAATCCCGAGAATCTGCTGGCTCCTTCTGGTGGAGATTCCAGCAGTTGCAGCCAGGACAGACCTTTGCCGACCCAACAGGCCTCGGTGGATCAGGAACGGCTTTGCATGACCCTGAAAGAAGAACCTTCTCCGACTCATCTTGAGGCAGCAAAACAGGAGATTCCCATGCCAGAAGCAGGCCTCTGCAGAATGCCAGCACCTGACATGAGTGACAGGAAGCTCAATTTTGTCGGGTTCACTTCGAACTTAGATCAGAAACAAAGACTGGCAAGCCCTTCCGCAATGCACCAACTTGCTCACCATGCAGTAGGATCCCCTGAAGTCAGCAACGCTAACCAACCAGGCAATCTCGTGCCCGTACTTCCAAGCACAGAGTTCGTGAGTCAATGGGTCCTGCACGTGACCCAGAACAGCGACGTGTATGCCCCACAGCACCTGCAAGCCAGAACCGCTCCGGATTCAGAGTCAGGCCGATCCTCAACCTCAGAGGTCAGCTATCAGGGCAGCGTGCCCTCCTCACCGACTTATCGGCACCCAGGCAGGGGACCAACCTCGTCCAAGAGCGCTGCGCCGAAGGTGGAGAAGCCTTATGCCTGCGAGCACTGCTCCTCGACGTTCAAGCACCGCCACCACGTCGTACGTCACATGCGGGCCCACAACGGAGAACGGCCCTTCCACTGCGAGCACTGCGGCGCCGCCTTCGCCCGCAAGTGCGTCTTGACCAACCACCGCCGTACCCACACAGGCGAGAAACCCTACATCTGCTCCGAGTGCGGCGACACCTTCAGCCGCAAGCACCACCTGGTGATCCACCAGCGCACTCACAGCGGCGAAAAGCCCTACCGCTGCCGCGACTGCGGGGCCGCCTTCGCCCGCTCACACCACGTCAACCGGCACCGCAGGACGCATGAGAAGGAGGCGGAGATGGATGCCCAGACAGCACGGCTCACATCAAGCTCTGACAAGGCAAACAACCAGCTTCCTACCATGGTGTCCCTTGCCCAGTCAGGTACTTCATTGGATCCTGAATTGGAACTAAAATCCAGCCTTCCCAGAGTAGTCACCCCACCTGCAGACACCACAACTGTAAAAACGATAAACAACCCAAATGAGCAAAATACAAAGTGTATCTCTGAAAACACAATCAGTACGCGAGAAGAGACGACAAAGTTGACCAGTGCAACGTAACAACTAACACACCCAGCTCACTTAATTCTAGCTCTGAACAAAACAACTCTTGCAGTGTCAAAAAGCCCAGACAAAGTTCCACAATATGTCTAAAAAAGTAAAAAATGCAAAACTACATACATCTTTCAAAACAGCAATCTAGTATCAAGTTCAAACTGCTGAATTTCCTTGAGCATTGTGTGAACTTGGAGAAGAACATTTTCACCATCCGTTTCAGAACCGCATTTCTTTGTAAAGGCCAAGGACAGTCGATGATGATTGAAGCTATTGATGTTTGTAGAAATTATTTCAGTGTTTGTCACACTAATGGTAAAGCCCTATGGTGATTGAATGAAAACAGCCCTTGCATCATTAACAAGCCAAGAAGTACAAAAAGAGTCTCTCAGAGTTGGTGCTAAGATTTAATTGGAGTCGTGTCTGAATCACTGTCAAAAATGCTATTAATATGTTCCTCTCCTTAATCCAAGACTGAAAACCACCAGGATTAATCTTCGTCCAAATAAGTGGGTAAATCCACATCAAAATGTTAAAGTGACATTAGGGTAGTCCTTACACAAGTGACTCGGCCCCAGATTTTCTGCTTTTCAGAAGCATCTATTAAGAAAAGGTGCGGTCGGAAATGTCACAGCTTGACACTGACAAAGAGAACTTGGCACTCAGATGGATCAGTTGGTAGTTCCTGGTATTAATAACCTTTAATAACGGATTCCTGCTTTAATTTACTTCCACTGGATAGGAACCCGGGTGAGCTTTTCAATTTCTTCCCACAGATGCTTGGAATGCACACGGGGCTAACAACCATGGTGAAATTTATAATAATGTTCTTTCCATTTTTCTTGTACAGAAACTAGGGGGATCTCGTTAGCTCTCCCAACAGGGGAAAATGGGGGGGGGGGGCATTCCTTAGGTTTGAACAGGTGGTGGAAATGCAAAAACGAAAGAGAGAAGTGATTATTTTTCTTTCTCAGGTCCCCTGAGATTGAGAGCAGGTCATCAGGGATGCTATTCCTGCCTGTTTAAATCTTGTCCTACATCTGAAAGGAGTCAGACTTTTTGCTGATACTTTCCTTTTTGAAAAGGTCGGTATGGATACAAGAATATCGGTTGGTACTATTCTGCTGTGAAGATAATGACAGTTTTTTTTGTGGGGGTGGGGGTAAGGGAGTGCAAAATTTAAAATATAAACCAGTGTTCCATGAAGTGTACTCATATGCAGCAAGGTA